CCTGGTTATTAGCTCTTTTCGGTTTTTCCCATCTCACAAGCGCGCTAAATACCCCCCCTTACACCGCGACGGCAATTCTTTGGGTAAAAACTGGAGAATGTTTGAAACGTTAAACTCCTGAAAAGTGACGAAAAGTCGGGAGAATTTTGGAAGTTTGTGCGTAGGATGAAGGGTTTTCCTCAACGGCAGGGTGTGCCCTGCTCATGATAGGGGCCAAAAGCATAGGCTTGAATAAGGGTCCGTGGCGGAGGAGGGCAAGTCTAGAAAGTGCTTTCAATATACGCATTGTTCTTTGACAGGTTCCCGAATTCGGGTCAAAGCCGATCGATTCTGGGATCTGTCAATTGGTAGCTGCTTCTTTACAAGAAAACACAGTGACTTCACCCTTCTGGAAGAGTTTTGACACACTTACTCCGCTTCAAAAGGGAGGAAAGGCGCTGTTTGGCCATGTGGGAGGCTGCTCGGGATTTCACTCCGAGACAGATCGTAGTGACAGGTACCAGCTGCCATTTTGCAGTCTTGTGCATTGAAGGTGTGGCGTGCGAAGGAAGATGGCTTTGACGCGGCACGAGGCCGTTTTTTCCTTCCGGCAAGCGACAGTACTGTATCATGTCGTTACTACCAGCCTACTTCCACCAATTTTGTCGCTTACCCGCTACAACAAGTGGTGAAGATGCTCGCGGCGCGCCAAACGCAGTCGCATTGCCACGCCCCTTCATTCGCAGCGAATAGGACTGTACCACATTGGCCTCGCCTGGATATATAATGAACTAAAAACCAGAGCAATTAAAAAAATTCCGAACCTGGAAAGAATCCGCTTTGTCTTCTTTCCCTATCGAGCTTTTGTATTTGAACGTGGTGAAGAAATACATGAAAAGACCTGCAAAGAATTCCTTCTGGTAAAGTAGAAAAAATATCATTTTCTAAGCACACAGACTCCAGTGATTAGTAAGAGAGAAACGAAAACTATAATAAAAGCGAGCACTAACCTAGCAGAGCTGGAAACCAGAGAGCTGTAGTCATGTGACCAAGCCATGAAAAATACATTGCAATCTCGGTACCAAAATAATCCCGAATTTCGTCTACAGGTTGCTCACCTTCAAAAATTTTACAATTATTGTACTGTAGGTCTCGCCGCGTTGTCCGCTCAATGTCGAAATTCGCATAAAAATACGAAAAAAGCATTACCTGTAGAAAGTACCCATTTCTGTTGCAAATGTTTGAGGAATTCCCTTCTTCGACTGAGGTTAGCAGAGATCACTGAGGAACTGAAAGACTTGTGATTGTCTCAGTTGCCGTTGTTCTTATCGCACTTCCATATAAGTTTCTCAAAAGTTGCTACTAGTGAGTTCAGTTAAGATACAATGCGAGAAAAAGTGGAGGGGAAAGAAATGGACGGAGACTAGCAACCACCGCGTACGCTCCCACAGGCTCGTCGCGTGACGCGCTGCCTGCCCAATCGATACCCGTTCAAGCGGAGCGACCAATCACAGCCGGTGGCAGAGGTCGCTGGTGTAGAGGCTTACTATATACACGCAGTGAATCTAGTGCAGGGCGCTGGGGATTCCCAAAGGTGGGGTCGTATTTGGTCGCTAGGGGGAGGGAAGTCGTCTTTCACTCGAAATTTTTGCCGTTCACATGTGGCGCCTCCCACGCTCGTCGCTACAAACAGCTCGATCGTATCAAGAGGACGGATGGGCGGCGGGGGAAGGGAGGGGGGTGGCGGTCGTACTGACTTGACCAAAATCTCCAACTTAATGATGTGCCCTGATGCTCTACCTCGTCCCTCCAGGTGAAAAGTGTAGAATTCGTAATGGGTGCCCAAAGCGTACCCGGATATGCATCTTTTCCTAGTCGACATCATCATTAAAGGCAGTTGGCACGATGGTTTCCTACTTAGCCTAAAATGCTAGTAGGGCGCTGTATAGTGGGGAAATGGCGAAAGAACGGAGTGAAACGGTCAAAATCCTGCGAAGAAAAAGCCTCCGTTCTCAGTGACTTGTAAATCGATTTCGGACGAGTTTCCCGTAGGCATCTTACCAATCACCGCTACCGAAGATACCAATCCCTTCGCTTCATAATTTGCTTAGCAAATGAATGAATACGAGCGTCAGGAACGGTCGTCCATTTGTGGGCGGGGGGCGTGCGGGCGTTTGGGTCCTTATAAGGGCACCTTCCTCGGGGAAACCGCTATGCAGCGCCTGCCCAGGGTCGCGGAATTCTATCCTGCCAGGAGTATTGATCCTAGTTGTCTTGGGGATTTATCGTGCCAACTGCCTTTAAGAAGTGCCACGAAACGTTAACCAGAAGATACATATCACTCACCAATCGCCATTCCTTCTCGTATTCTAATCGTCCTTGTTGGCAGGTCAAGAGTGAGCCCACCGGCTGGCGCTCGCATCATGTCCACAATCTGTTTCACTGAATTTATCTGATCACTTTATCAGCTGGCCAGTTTGGGCTTTTGAAAGCTAACTACACAACAGATATTTTAGCCCTAGGCGAGAACCCATGGTTTTCTTCTTCAGCGCGCCGAACCCACGGACAGAATGCCACGGCATACAAGAAGCAAAAATGACATTCAAAAGCAAAATGGGCGCAGTTTGGCTTGGTGGGGGCATTTCACTGGTTCACATCACAATGCGGATGCCTCTCGTGAGGACCTGTAAACTTTGTAAAGCTAGTACGAGCTTCGTTGACACCTGAGAAAAGCCTACAAGTATCACCAAGATGAGAGTGTAGTCCAACAGGAACTAGCCAAAAACGTAGCGTAGAAGCAATATGCCCCGACCTGCCACCCCTGAGCCGAACAGCGCCAGCAAGATGCTTGATAACGAAAACCATTCGATGCTTTCATGAGGGAAAAATGGGGGCCTTATTAATAACAGTGCCGTACCTGAGAGTGGCACAGTCCTGAACACTTACCGATGAGAGCTCGTTCTGTGTCGGTAAGAAACGTATTGCGTCCTTCAATGCCCGAAAAGCATTGAGCCTCTTCGAAGGAGAATTCTCGGAGACCTCCACCGAAACGACTTTTCACCGGTTTCTTGATATGGCACAGCTCGGCTCCTTTCAATAAACTGAAACATCAACTAGTAATGGACCCTCAGTCACTTACTTAGTGAGCAAGGCTCAAATTGTAACGTCGCTAACTGAAGTCAATCGGGACGTGTCAGCGCGTTTTTGGCTCAGCGCCGGCCTATTTTCCATTCGTTAGGACTTGGGAACTTCAATGAGCAATAGGAAAGGGCTGGGTCGCGCCAAAATCTACGGACCGCTCACACGCCTCGATTGTTTTCTGTGATGCCGACACTAGTTCTAGCGGGGCACATCGTTGTTGGGGAATCCCCAATAGGGGGGGGGTCGTATTTGGGCTGGAAAATTTATTTTGATAGTTGATTTTTCTCGCTTCACGGACGTTGTAAAGGGGGGGGTCGTACTTGCTCATTGTTGGGAGGGGAGGTCGTATTTACTTTTTGGCTTCTAGGAGTGGTGGTTGACTTTTCGTGATTTTCCTTTTAACATGTGCGCGGCTACGCGTGCTATTTACCCCCCCCCCCCTCCTCCCCGCTCTACGGCTCGACTCGATGAGCAGGGACAGAGGGCGCCGGAGGGGGGGGGTGTTCGTATCATTCGTATCAACCTCCAAAAAAGGGGGAGGTCGTACAGACTCGACTAAAATCCCCAACCAATGATGTGCCCTGAGTTCTAGCCCTTCCTCTACCCAATATAGCTAAATAAATGTAAGAAAAAGAGAGGAAAGATAAAGGACTAGAAGAAGGAGGTAAGGAAGCGAATTAAAAAAAGAAAAAAGAAATAAATCCCAAAGAAGAAGAGGCCGATCATAAGTTACCTTTTGTAACCAGCCGTAAGGTAGAGTGCATAGCAATCTTTGAGCTTATGATGTCGTACTTCAATTTTCAGTTGAGGTTCGTTTGTTTTGATCTGAGCTAAGATTACGGTAAGTGCGTGAAGC